GTTGGCCTCCCCAATGGCCTTCGACCATCTGCTCATCCTTCTCTCGCCAGATTGACACCACCCACCGCCCCCTCGTTGTTCCTCTTCCGTGGTCTAGCATAGATCTACATCTTTCTCCATCTCGATCCTCTTCTCCGCCCCCACCTCTGCAACTCCCCAGACCATTGTGCCTGCGAGCTATCCTTCTGTCTTTTTTCTCTCCTTAAGATTTTTCACTCACCCCACGATCGTACAAAACTCTTGAAATCCGCTAGCACACTATCTTTTCCCTATTCTTCTCATCCCTGTTGAACTAAATCTTTATCGGTCTGGAGCCTCTTCTCTCCTCCACACCCCTGCAACCCAGCAAATCATTGTGTCTGTCAGCCTTTCTTTTTTTCTTAGTCTTGGTTCTCTCCTGAGGCTTTTCACCCCCGCCATCACAATAGGAAACTCTTGAAACCGGCTAGGGGATTATCAGCAGCAATTGGGCGGTCAGCCCCGGTGTTCCCAACCGTCCCGGGCGTCCCGGGCAGGGTGGGTAAGGACGGCAAGGCATGGCGTCCGTCTTTGATAAAGACCGCCGTCCGAGGGGTTGACGCCCGGGCCCGGGAGTCTTAATACAAATGGCATCTTCCGGCCGTCCTCACCGGGGACCGGCCGTCATTAGCAGAGCCCGACCGTCATTCGCAGGGCCCGTCCATCATTCGTAGAGCCCAGCCGTCATTCGCAGAGCCCGGCCGTCATCTGTAGGGCCCGGCCAGTATCTGCAGGGCCCGGCCGTCATCTGCAGGGCCCGGCCATCATCGGTAGGGCCCTGCCGTCACCTGTAGGGCCCGGCTCTCATCCGCAGGGCCATTTGCAGGTGAGACACCTATAGGGCCCGGCCGGCCATCCGGGCAGTGATTAGGACGGACCACAGGATAGGCGTCCGTTCAGGGCAGAGTTCCTGAAACCAGCGTCCGTCCCGTCCGAAGCCAAGGACGGACGGACTGGACGCTTGGGAACACTGGTCAGCCCACAATAAGAATCTTGTTTGACACGCCAACATCGCTACAAATACCCACCAACGAGGCCCAACCTGTCGCGTGGGCTTACCCAATACTCTCCTGTGGAAACGGCAAGGCATATCGAGAGCTTTAGACTCAGGCTCCGGAGATTCCTGCACTGCTGGAGATAGCGGACTGCACGAGCCCGCACAGCATTATTAGAGGTATAATTAAAAGGTTCGCTCACCTTGATATACCATTGTACTAATGTTTTGGATAGTTAGTCCTAGCAAAAGCACCTCACGTCCTGTTTTCTGTATTGGCTGGTGGATTTGGGGCCATGTCCAATGAACTCGATCCACACCACCTGGTGGCACTAATGAGCCACATATTGGCTGAGTCGCAAGATGGGTCTTCTCACCGCTTGGACGCATCATCTCACACCTTTGGACATGGCATCATAGATAATCATGCGACCAACGTGCGCACCTTTCCCATCTTGGATTAGAGGTAAGTTGCAAGTTGTATTGCCCCTGAAAAGGAATTCCGGTATTCTGACAATGTTTCAGCTGGCACGGAGGAGCTTGCCGACACGGGGTTGGAACATAGCATTAGCATCAATGGATCGGCAGCAAATCATCGCTACTCCACGGGAAAGCACCTTGTCGTTTCTGCATCAGTCCCGGCATTTGATTTGCTGGACCAGGTGTCAGCTCTACATTCTAGGCTCATCCCGCCCGCCCAGTATTACAGAAATCACCTGCGGGCTTGTAGCAGAGGGGTTTGCATTGTCACGTCAAGGTAGATGCCACATGCACCCCAGGTATTGGTTTGGTCTTGGTGTTAGTGATAGGTAAAGTAGGATGCGGGGGACGTTTGGGCCAAGTAATCCCGTGGCTGGATGGTGTGACGCCAAGGCTTGTATTTACCGGTAGTGCATTGTAGCTCTCACAGTACTCCCAATTAAACACCAGGCGGTTGCATAGCCCGTGTTTTTCTCCTTACTGAATGACTAAATGGGCTAGCTTAGTAGTGGGGATGATACATCTGCATATCATCCGCGTTCCGGACTGTCGCGTGTTCCCAGCGCACCGGGGCCCCACGCCCGGGCCGGAGATGGAATTGCTAAGGCTCCAGGATGGGACGGCAAGGTGTAGTCTGTCCTTGGAGGGGACCATAGGCCCTATAGGGTGTGAGGCTTTGTATTTTAGATAACGTATCATATTTCACCGTCAACTCGAGGGAAGCTTCTGTTTCTTGCTGCTATTGATATCTTAGATTACATCTTCTTGGCCACTATCTTCCTTGGCTATTTTCCTCTTCAGCGATCTCATGCCTTTCTTATACTGCGGAAGATCTTTCAAGCCCTTCCCCTTCCGCTGATATCTGTGCTTCTCTTAACATCTCTTGACGCCCATTTTATCAACGACTCTAGTTCCTCGGTCCAATAAGGTGCCACATAACACCTCTCTGGCTAAACATCCTGTGCAATACTTCGATATACAAGAACCTCCAGAACCTTCCATCCAGCATCCTGATAACAATCACGTAAGTATTGCGGACATCAGATCGACGCTGGACTGGCTCTGGAGGATTCTGGCATACTAATCACCTCTACAAAGCTATCCATGCATTAGCAAACCTATAGATAACAGGAGAAACATCACAGAATCCTTAAGTATTATAAAGTGATGGAGAAAGGGTTGTTTAAGGTTCTGGTATCGGTTGCCATGTACCTTTTTGTATGGAGGCCTAGACAAAACTTTAGGCCACTTTCAGCTGGTGGATACAATCATGAACAATGGAGACAGCTTTGATTCCTTAGACTTCTACTTGTCGAGGTTGGAATAGATAGTTATTCCCTAGCTAATGAGATTATTTGAGGTGCTTTCATATACGCAGCGTTGAGAATTGTCCGTTTAGAAATGACCATTTTTGGTGTGAAAAGGGCATCGGACGATCCCTTTTGTCCCCATACTATATCATACCAAAGGCCTGATTACCAGGCAATGATACGGGTCATTAGTATCCTCAGGATCCCCCTCAACCAGTGTAAAAACATAGTATATGAATTCTTCATGTATCACTACAGTTGTAGAGTAAGTAGGCTCTGAAGTGATTAGCTGGGAAATAGTTAAAAGGATATTCTACCCACGTCTTCGCGTTCCAAGCGCTGTATTCGAGACAAATCAATTCTTCAAGTGAGCACTAGAGCGTGCTATTATTTCGTCCCAACTCTTCTGAACCAGGCCCATTAACTTAATCAACAGGCCCTCTTCCAACCTCATGTCAAATGTCTTCTGGGCTGCCCAGCCCTCTTATCGCAGCAAGAGCGCAACCAAGCGAAATGGGAGGGCCAAATCCGCTGTATACCATGGAAAGTCACACAATGCCCCCCCGGCACAGGAAAGTCGAAAAGAGCCTCAGAACGCGGGCGGGCCGAACCTCCCTCAACCGCACGATTATGGGCCGGCAGATGTAACTTCCATATTCCATGAACAAGGGAGAATCTTGGACGATATAGGCGTACCTCTCGAAATCATAGTCGGAAACCAAGAACTCATCTGCAAACTCCGTGTGGCGAAACCTAGGCTCCCAAGTAAAAGTAAAACAGAAAACCCCTAATCTCGGGAATTTCCGTAGAAACAAAGGAGCGAGGCAGTAGTTGACGAAAGGGGGTTATTGTTCATGAGGGAAAGCTCGTCCCTGGAAACGGAGTGATTGCTTGATGGAAGATCAGACATAGGTCAATGAGGTTCTGAGTTTCGCAATAGGAACTTGCGATGTTATCGAGAACTGTTCTGGTCAGCTGGCGGTCACGCGATCGTAAAACATGGTGTAGAAGAGGGGCACTTTTGCCATCCTAGAATTTCTTTGCCCTCTCACGGGTGTGGGCGATGTCGAAATCCACTTTTCTCCTTTCCAGCATTTCTCGGTTCGGGGCTAGTTGCCCGAGAGAGGTAACTCCGGAAAGGAAACATTATGTGAAAACAAGAGAAGGGTGAGCGGGAGCTGGCAAGTACTGTGCTGTAGAGTGTGACAGCTATAGCGCGGTAACGCAAGGCACATCCTTGATTTGGCACTAGTCTAATATGACCCATGGTTATCACTAAACCCCCTTACACCCAACCACATCAACCAATGAACAAGTGCATGAACTGGGAAACAAGATCGCAATATCTTACCCTGAGCATCCACCATCTGTGCCTGCGTCGTTGGCAATGCTATCATGACATCTCCATAAGCTATGGCCTCGTCGATAAGAGAGTAGAAAACTAGACCTAATCCATACAGAGTGGCGCAAGTATCCTCATGATCCACGCCGAGGACCAACGAGCAGTCGATCTGCGAAAATTTCCTGGAAACCAGAGTGTTCTCCGTCGGGGGGGTATCATCCAGTGCCAAAATGGTGGCCATGCTTTGGGGGATCTATCGGCACCAATATCCCGCCCCGCCCACAAAAATCACGAAAGCAAACCCTCCTCCGGCAGGTAACAAGTGACAATGGTAACCACCTGGACGACTGTGTCGGGAAATCTCGCCCATATCCCCCACCTGACCTTATCTCACCAACCAACCAATCATCAAACAAACAAACAGGCCAAAGCAAACTAGACAAAGGGATCGTAAAAAGGAGAGAAATAAAAACATATCAAAACTCCGAATCGTTAACCCTCACATTCCTCGGATGCTGGACCATGGACCTCGCCAGTGTCTCCCGAACCCGCTCTTTCCCCAATGGCCTTTGCCTCCCCAGTGCTTCAGGCACCAGCACACCAACTATCACCCGGCTCCTAACGAGCTTCCCCGGCGCCAGCAACATCCCCGCCTGCCTCCCGTTGAGGTTCATTATCTGTGTCAATCGTCCAGAGTACCCTTCCTTCACGTGCCGCGCATTTGAGGGCTTGACCGGCATGCCCGTTGAGGTGTACACAAGCCTCAACTTCGACGACGTGCGGCGCAAAGTAGCCTGGTCATTCTGGGTTGCAAGCCGCGGATGCACAGTATGGGTAACAACATATTCACGAAAGCATGACCGTAATTTCGGCAGCTGGGGATATCCTCCCGACGGAGAAGACCCTGGTTTCCGGGCAATTGTCTCAGATCGAGCGCTCGTTGGTCCTCAGTGCCGATCATTTGGACTCTGGCACAGCCACCTATGGATCCGGTCCCGCTTTCTATACTATTATCCTCGAGGCCATAGCTGGTGGAGGTGTCATGGTAGGATTGCCAGTGCCAGAAGGGCAGATTATGGCTGCTCAGAGCAAGCTATTGCTGTCCTGTTTTCTGGTTCATTTATGGGTTCATTTGTTGATGTTGTTGGGTCTGTAGGAGCTTAGAGACAAACAGAGAGGTCACATTCAAGCAGTACCAAACCAGCCAGTGAGTTGCGTTCCAGCGCTATAGATAGGACACTCAGAGTAGCGATCAGCTCTCACTCGGTCTGCTCCTCTTGCCCTTACATAATGCTGCCTCTCCGGAGTTAGCCATCTGGGGCCACTCCTCTCCAACTGGGAAATGGGGGAAGACAGAAAAATGGATTTTGGCATCTCCTACACCGTTGACTGGGCATAGCATTTCTGGGATAGTGAATGTTATTGTAAAAGTGATGGTGATTGTAAAGACTGAAAGCAGGGGTGGAAGAAATAAGAATATGGGATAGATAGTTTTAGATAAGACTACACTGTATCTCTGTTGCTTGTCTCTTTTATCTACGGAATAAGGAAGGACTTTACATAGACAAATCATCCACCCTCCAGGTACAGTGTTCTGGCCTCGGTGAGAAAGAAAAAAACAACTGAAATGCCAAACACCCTTTGATCCTTTGGGAATCCCTCTGGTGGGTTCTAGCCAACTCTGGAGTTCTGGTACCTTGGCTCATACCTGATATCAACATTTCTGCTCCCTTGCTGTATGCAACTGTTTCTTATATCGCATGGTTCCAGCCATATAGTGTTTATGCAATGTATATCCATTCCCTTGACTGATGAGAAATCAATGACAAATAGATAAAAAATAAACGGACAAAGGAGTGACAAATAGAAATAGGTAAGAAAAGATATTTATCCATTGACCGCGAGGGAGGGAGATTGAATGATCCCCGGTGATTTTCAATAAATGTGCTCCTCCTCTACACCACGCCGCACGACCGCGTGATTGCCAGGTGACCTGAACAACACTCCACAATATCGCCACTTGTTATTGCGAAACCCAAAACCCAATTGACTCGGCTCTCATGGCTTATCTCGCAATCGCTCCTCGGTTACAGGGACAATGTCCTGCCACCAACACTCACCAAATTTCGCTTGGTATGATACTTCCTCCCTCCTTTGTTTCTACGGAAATTCCCGAGATTAGTGGTTTCCCGTTTTCCCTTTACTTGGGACCACATGTTTTGCCACACGAAGTTCGCAGATGAGTACTTGGTTTCCGAGTACGATTGGGCGATGTGTGCCAATATGGTCTGGGATTCTTCCTTCTTTACAGAATATCGAAGGTACATCTGCCGGCCAATTATTGTACGGTCAGGGGAGGTTCGGCCCGCCCACGTTTTGAGGCTCGGTTGGGATTTCCTTTGCCGGAGGGGCATTGTGTGACTGACTATGGGACACAGCGGATTTGGCCCTTCCATTACGCCCGGTTGTGCTGCTTCTGCCATGACAGGGCCGGGGAGGCCAGAACACAAATGACATAATGTTAGAAGAGGGCCTGTTGGGCAGGTCAATGGACCTGGTTCAGAACAGGTGTGACGAAGATAGCGTGCTCTAGGGCTCACTTGAGGAATTGCTTTGCGAGGTATCTTGGATACAGAGCTTGGAACACTGGGGCTTGGGTAGAATTTCCTTTTACCTATTTGGCAGCTAGTCGCTTCCAAGGCGACTCACTCGGAAAACCGTGGGGATGGTGGAGAGTTGAGATCGTATCTTTTTGGATTTGTTGAGGGGGATCCTGAGGATCCTAGTGACCCATACCATTGCCCTGTAATCAGCATTTTGGTATGATATATATATCCCCTCAACATTTGGTTAGCACCGCGCGCGGACTAACGCTCCAGTAGCATTTATTGAACCAGCAGTACATGGGTTCCGCGCATGCCCGTTTCCCAATCCCCGCGGACCCTGCAGACCCTCTAACAAACAAGGTTCCGAAAATTCTCTGTTTTCATCATTCTATATCCAAGACTTTTGGGGAGAATATAATCTTTCTCCTTCATGGTGCAAGTGATCGTGTTGCATGATAGGAACTATTGCTTGACAGAGACGCACCATTAGGGGGGGCTGCAAATGACACTGTCTTGCGCTCGTTAATGAATACTAAATCCTCTGTGCCTCCTCTTTACTACAAGTGAAAAATATCAATACCGTTGCGCAAAGAACATCAAGGTTTTGATAGACGTAATGATCCGCAACCTCTGCGACCTTCCGGACTAGTCTGAGCAGGCAACCGTTCCCTCTGATCAGTACCCAGTCTCTCGAAAAGTGCAGGAGGATGGTGTAAAACCAGGTCCGGGCGGGGGGGTCGACCTATGCGTTCTACGCCTACTCCTAGAACACACCCAACTCCCCCGCCAACACACTGGAACTACGACCGAGTCCTCAATCTCCAGAAATGTTTGAGCGGCGTGCGAAGAAACCACTTTCACCTTGTCGACTAAACAACCACCCGTCCCGCCACGGGTTCAGGAATTATCGCATGGCATAGATCACCGCACGGGGAGAACATGCACAGCAGGAACCCTAGAATTAAGCCTCGCACATCAAGGTCAAAGCTCTGTCGGTTTGATGAAGGTGGCCTCCAAAGCGGAGCAGCCAGGAGTCCTCACACGGCCCCGGGGATTGGGCACTGGGGGAACTGGTTTACAGTGAGGTAGGAATGGAAGTGGGGTGTGCATCGCGGGGAAGGCATCACGGCTCACGGTGATGTCAGATATGATGGATACGATGGTTTCTGATCTGATTGGTGAATCCGGGTGGTTGTATTTGTACCTCCTCCCGGCTCCTTCTTTTTCTCCCCCTTGTCTTGAGTGCGTTACTCATTGTATTACTCTCGTGCAGCATGCATCGCGCTATTGGTTGGGTTTATTTAGTGTCCTATCACAGTCTGTTTTCGCTCTACAACCGTTTTTTGTTGGAAGGTTCCGCGGTCGATTTCCTTATCCGGGCATGTTGGCATTTGCGACACAACTAAGTCTCGTCACAGCGAATGTACACTAGGTGTTTTCCATGCATGAGATTCTTATTATTATATCTCTGCTGCATTTTCGCATCCACTAGTGCTGCTATGGCTGCCTTCGGAACATATTAACGATGCATCATACTTACTACAATATGCTATCGCTCTTTACATATAGTCATAGTATGTGGGTTCCGGTGCTTTGAAATTCCACAGCCAGTTGTCGTCCGCCATGTGATCATCGAATCATTGTACTGGAGTATGGAAAAATTAGTTGCAGCCAACTTATATCACGTTTCCCCTCCCCTCCGCTCCCAAAGCAGGACCGAAAGCCTGTTCCAAGGATGCCCACCATCCAGGGCGAAACTTCATAGCCCGCCACTAATTTCGAAGGAAAGATTCAACGCTAACTACACCCTCCTACTCCAGAACCCGGTACCTACCCTTTGACAATGGAGATGATCAATGATACTACCCGAAGAGAGAACGAAAGCTAGCTAAGAAGGAAAACATATATGCCAACATCCTAAACAGGACTGCCCTGAACCCAGCCACCTCGAACACCATACATGCCCCAAGTGTGGGTATCCGTATCTCCCAACACAGCCGCCAACAGATATTCCGTAAACAATGGAGAATCCAAGACCATATAGGCATATATCGGCAAATCGTACGCGGACACCAAGCACTCGTCCCCAAAATCTTGCCGCAAAGCCTATGCGCCCATGTAAAAGAAAAATAGAAAAGCCCTAATCTATGAATTGCCGTGGAAACAAAGGAGGGGGGTAGTAGGGGACGAAAGGGGGTGAGTGTTCATGGAGGGGCATTGTCCCTGTAAACGAGGGAATGATTGCGAGATAAGACATGACGGCCGCATCAATGAGGTTCTGAGTTCCGCCACAGGAGCGGGGCTGTTGTTCTGGGCAGCTGGCGGTCACACGATTGTGAAACATTATGTAGAGGAGGAGCATAATCATACCATCCCAGAATTGCTGTACACTCACAAGGCTGTAGAGGATTTTAAACCCCATTTTTCTCCCTTCCAGCATTTCGCAGGCGGGGGCAAGTAGCCCGAGATAGGTAACTCCGGAGAGGAAACATTATGCGAGGACCAGAAGAGAACAGCGAGCGAGAGCTGATCGGTACTGTGGTGTGGAGTCTGCTAGCTATAGCGCCATAACGCAAGTCAGTAATTGGTTTGGTACTGCTCGAACATGACCTGCCTGTTTGCCTCCTAACTCCCACACAGCCAACCTCATCAACAACTGAACCAATGCATAATGCATAATTGGAGACAGGACCGCAATATCTTACCCCGAGGAGCCATCATCGGTGCCTCCACCCTCGGCAATCCTTTCATGACACCTCCATTAGCTACGGCCTCGATGATACGAGTGTAGAACGTAGGACCGAATGCATACAGGGCGGTGCAAGCCTGTATTTGATCCTTACAGAGGACCAACTACCTCGCGACCCGCCTGAATTTCTAGGAAACTAGAGTCTTCATCGTGGGGATATCGCCCGCTGCCGAAAGGAGGGTCATGCTTTAGCGAATCTATCGACATGAATACCCCCCCCACCCAGAAAAACAGAAAAATAATCGTTCCTCTAATGGGCAATAAGTGATAATCGTACATTTGAGGTAGTAGTTGGCATACTGGTAACCACGGCAGTACTACAGGGCACCACCTCCTGGAGTGCACCCACCTTAACCCTGGCGAGAAAACTCACGAGCAGCCCACCATCCAATGCCTCTCAGCCGCCCTCCTCGCCCAATAGCTAAGTAGACACCTGCTGCTTGTGGCCCAGAATGATCAGGCTCCTGCGCCGCATGTCCGCGGTGTTGCAACCCGGGTACACCTGAACGGGGGTGCCGGTGATGCCCCCGAATGCGCGGGGCACGCAGGAAGTGTACTCGGGACGCTTGCCACAGGCGATAACCCTCGAGGGGACGCAGGTGGCGGTTTTGCCGGCATCGTGGAAGCGCGTGGGGATGAGAGTGGTAGTTGCTATGCCGGTACCAGAAGCAGTGGGGAAGCGAAGGCCAATGGGGTAGGAGAGGGTTCCGGAGAGACCGGCGACGCCCATGGCGCCGGATCGGAGGAATGTGAGGGTTAACGATTGGGAGTTGTGATCTATGTTTATGTTTCTTATTTTTACGATCCCTTTTTTCTAGTTTGCTTGGGCGTGTTTGTTTGTTTGTTTGTTTGTTGGTGAGATAATATAGGTGGGGGAGATGGTCCAGATCTCGCGATATGGTCGTCCTGGTGGTTTCCAACCGTTAAGCCACCATAGGATATTATACCAGCAGGGGAGGGATTTACAAGATTCAGGACTCCAGTCAGGGCTACGTGTTCTCTCTCCAATATCGCAATTATAATCATACAAGTTATTCACCCTTTGTAGGGCAGGGGGGACGAAAAAGGGGGGAACCTTTGATTACCGATCGATCACGGTGCAGCCCTGGCCTTTCATTGTTTCACCGGTGATTCTCTAAACCCAGAGGAGGAAAGGAGTGAATCAAACAACTCTTTCTGTACCGTAGCAACTGGAATCCGAACTTCGCCATGCAGCGTATGGTGGCTCTGATATCATATCAAGCCTGGCCTTCTGGTGTCAACTGCGGTACAAGATGTACGCAAGAGATATAGCTGGTTACATTTTGTTTCTAGATAACTATGAGTAAGAATGCCAACGGCACCCGTAGCATCAAGCGGGTCCCGTTGCCAGGGCTTTAGGTTAATAGTGTGGAGAAGATCCGCCACCCGCACTCGATTTCTATATCTCTTTGGTCTGAACCCCCAATGCGTAATCAGTCAGAGTCTAGCAAGGAATTACCGTAACTCCTCCGCTATGGTCTCCTGGAACTTCATTGTTATCCGTATTGCTTAGCTGAGACTAACAATACAGCCGCACCGCTGGTGCAGCTTGCATGCAATTGTTAATACAAAAACTGCAGAGTGCAACATACGAATACCGTTACACCAATGGCCTGGGAGCATTGATGGACATACTGATACACAACGTCCTAGACCTTCCTGATGAGTGAGAGCCGGTAGCGATTCCCTCTTACAGGTACCCACTCTAAGGAAGGGTACCCTAATATGGCGAAACACCGGGTCCGGCACATCTACCTCTGCGCCCTATACCTAGTTCTAGAACACACCCAACTCCCCCACCGGCTACCGGAGAAGTTCGACCAGGTCCCCGAACTGCGCGAATTCTCTCGCGGCATGTCAACTAACTACTATCAACGGGTAGACCAAACACCTATCCGCCTCGTCACGGGCTCCGTAAATGCCCCATGGCGTAGATCAGTGCCTGGGGAGAACATGCACAACAAAAACCCAGCACACAGGGCCCTGGAATCAAGTCTCGCACATCAGGGTGAAATCTCTGCCGGTTTGATGGAGGTAGCCTCAGAAGCAGAGGTGAGAGGTGTCATCACTATATCCCGGAGATTAGCCACTGGGGGAACTTGTTTATATGCCGGGAGTAATGGAAGTGGGGTGGACATTTCTGGGGAGGCGTGACGGGGCACGGTGACGATAGATATGATGGATATGACCGCTTATGATCGGATTGGTCAATGGGGGTGGTTGTATTTGTCCCTCCCCCCGCACTCCTTTTCGTTCTGTCCCTTTGTTTAACTTACTTATTTTATTCTTCACCAGCATGCATCACCCTATTGGTTGGATTTATTTGGTCTTCGATTAGAGTCTGTTTGTGCCTTAAGTCTCTTGTCTCTTTCAGAATTCCCTGGTGGAGATTGTTTTCCCCAGAGATGGCGGCATTTCCGTCCCGCCCGGGTCTGGTCCAGGGGAACGGCGACTAGATGATTTCCATGCCTAACATTGTTATTTCCCGATCTCCTTTCCATTTCGTGATCGAGCGGTGTTGTTCTGGCTGTACGGAGGAAGTTCGATGGGATGATGTCTAGTATTATGGAGTATCTGAGCTGCCGTCGGAATATATCAACCATCCACCATACATACCACAATATGAGTGTGGTTGTGTTAGAACCCACACATTGGCCTCCAACAATAAAAAATTTATTTTAGCATAGCCAGCTAGACAGTCTTCTAGAGCATACTCTAAATAGCTTAGAAAATATTTTTTAACCTCCAATGACCTCTGTAGCCTGTTTTATGTACAAAAATGTAAAATATTGTAAAAATCTTTTTTTTTCATAGAAAAATACTAGAGCTTTCTGGGTATCTGTAGAGCATAGTTTCAAATCAATAGGTCATATGGGTGTGATGTTATGAGTAGTTCAAGTAAAGATAGTTTTTTTGTTGAATTATATTACATGAAGGACACCATATATCCACATGAAATGGGTAACAAGATTTAATACTAGAAAACCTAGGATAACTCATAGCAATCATCTTTTAGTAATTGGCAAGGATTTAATATAAAGAAGTACAGGATTGATGAATTGCAAATCCACCATACAGTACCTTCTACAACATTGATATCAAGTCCAGGTAATAAAAGCCTTTATATGGAAGATAGAAGTACCTATCTCAGTAAGAATAATATTCTTGCTACAAGTTCAGAGATATAGTTATAAGCAGGCCAGATGATTGAGCAGGAAAGAAAAGCTCCATTGATTAAGGAGGGATTGCTGAAAACATGAAAATGTAGAAGACAGTAACCTTCAAGTTGGGATTCCAAGAATAAATATAGTAGAAAAACCATGTACATAATATATTTTCACAAATTTTAAATCATAGATATATATTCCATATAGTAAATAAATTTTTATCCAATTACCTTATTTTTAAACTTTTTTATTATTGAGGAGAAGTGATTCTCATATAGAGAAAAAGAAAAAAGTGTTTATCTCAAGTTTGATTTTCTCAGGTTGCTACCCTTCAAACCTGTTTTTCTGGTAACAACCAAAAAAGCCCACGTGTAGGTTTAAACAAAACCACACTCATATGCTATCGCCCTTTACATGTAATCAGATTATGTGGGTTCTGGATCGCTGATATTCCATAGCTAGCTGTCGTCCGCCATGTGATTACAGTCTGATTCTGCTGGAAAATGGAAAAGTTAGTTGTAACTAACTTATAGAACGTGCCACCTGCGCTCCCCCGCAACAGTGGACAGAAATCTGGCACCCTGGATAACTAAAACACAGCGGAGAACCGCACAGCCAACCACCACATGCTTCGTGTGAATCTTACTCAAAGAAGAGCCCCTCCCGCTCCCGAACTGGCACCAGCGCCTTGAAAATACTCCTGACCTCCCACGCAAACCTCATGCAGGTAATCATCCACTGCCACCTTTGCCAGCACAAAACCCAGAAACCGGATTACAAACAAGCCGAACATAGGCCATGTTCAACGTTTGAAATACCTATTTCCACGCACCTATCCTTAGCCCCTCCTGCACTCCACTACACTCCACCCCACAGCACCAATCATGCAAAATTCGGCCTATTTTACTCCCTATCCTTAACCCCCAAGCCGGCTGCAGATCCATATCCACAACGACCTCAATCTTGTCACCCGTGTTCGCCAACGACCCGTACGCGGCTAGCTCCTGATCCAGGCTGTATACAAGATCAAAGTCGCGGACGCCACCATGCTTGAGCTGTAAGAGGGACGGAGGGATATCCAGCGTGGCGTGCATCAGGAAGTTGTGTTTGAGCGTCGATGGGGAGGATGTGGGGGATTGAGGGAAGGTGTGGATATGGGGGGATGAGTGCTGAATTTGGTTTTTCTTTGTTTTTCAATAGTTCGATACCTGGGGATGGGGTGGGGTTGGATGGGGGCCGAGAGGAGGATCTGCTTCGGCTGATTGGGACGATGCGGGCTGCTTTGGGTGTTTGCGTTTCTGATTTCTTTTTTGTTCGTACGTGAAGACTAACGTGATTTACGGGGAAGCGGCTCACGACAGGGATGCGGCTCACACTTGGCAACCAGTAGAAAATCAAATATATTTTTGATTATCTCTATGAATAATGATGAGACCACATTGAAATTTTATTACTAAGTGAATTGAAATATGAGAAATTTGAATACGTAAATTATATTTCACAATTATAAACTATTCTGCTTGTACAGGGTGTTTAAAATTGTTTCTCCCAAAAAAACTGCTATAGTTCCCTGCCATACAAAAACCGAAAAACCTGTAAGAAGTATCCTCATAAGTGAACTGAGAGATTGAGCAAGCCCTAAAAGCCCATGCCCAATAGTCCTCTGTTTTATTTATTGCTATTTTTTAATGTTGTAGTACCTAGTAGGAATTAATAAAAAGTAAGCAAACTACATACAAATTTTGCATATTTGACAGTAGAATAACTTGTTACTATCAGAACCGGTAATTTTGAATTTTCAAAATCTACTGTACAATAACAGTATATGGGAGTATACAAATTTTGAGATTGTGCAGAAAAGTTTTCCATATTCTGTACTCAAGTTACTATTACAAGTAAGAAAGAAAATCAATAACTGTAAGCTATTATATTATGCTAAAATAATTAGTACTAATGATTCTCACCACTTGAAAACCTGCCTATAGGCTTACTGTGAGCAGGAGACTAGAATATGATTTCCAGT